TATAATGATGACTTTTATTCATTCATTCAACTTCATTATTAAATGTTCTTCATTATTCATTTGTAGTGTGTCTGCTATGTCTCTACAGAATCAGTGAATCTCAGTGTTTTCACCTGAGAAGCTTCATGAGGGCAGAGAATATACTCCCTGATCCCTGGGCCACAGTAAGCACTCTAGGAATATACACAGATGAGGACATTAGAGAGTGAATAGCAAGAAGAAAACCTCACTCTCAGACCCTGGTTCTTAGCATAGGGCCTTTTTTCCATGCTAAAACAACCTGTGGCCTTTAAATTATCAGCAACTTGAAATGCTGGAAAATTGGGGGTTTGCTGTATCACTTTGACAGTTGATGAGGAAAGGCTATTTTTCAACATTGAGACAAGAGATTTCATTTTTTTCTTTTTATTTCTTCCAGATAGAACAGTTGAAACAAAAAGCAGATAAGAGAGTCAGAAGTGTAAGTACTTCTTTTGCAGTGGTAATTTTTTTTTTCTTTTGTTAGGCTCTGTACTTCCATACAGTTTTTTTAATTGACTGACTAGAAACCAATTGTTGGCTTTTATTAAATAGTATTCCTTAATACATTTGTTGAAATTTGATGCAGTTAACTTTTGTTTTTATTTAAATAGTTGGGACTAGAGGTTGGGAGGAATTCAGTCAATTTATATTGCCAACATAGGAAAATAATTATCCTCAATACAGCTCCTTAATGTGAAACCTATCCTTACAACTATGTTGTTGGATATGATGGCCACCAGCCATATGTGGCTGTTTTATTTAGATTTGTTAAAATTAAATAAATTTAAAAATTCAGTTTCTTATTTGCGTTCACCACATTGTAAGTGCTCACTCAGTAGCTGCATGTGTCAAGTGCTGCTGCATTGGACAGCACACATACAGAGCATTTCCATCACAGCAGAATGTTCTCAGCCCTGCTCTAACTTTAATTCTTAGCTATGGGCTTGAAATGAAGAGTAAGAAAAGCCTTGAGAACTAGAAACATCAGTTGCTTCCCAGGGAAGGGGATGGGGAACTGGGAGGTTCCCCTAGAAGGGGAACTAGAAGGCTTGTCACTTGATATTTTGGATCTCCCTTTAAAATTTGAAATTCATACTTAAAACTCAGATATCATGGGTGGATATTTAAAGGTTTCTTCTGATCACTGATGACAGGTTCGCTATAAAGTAATAGAAGATTATAGTGGTGCCTGCTGCCCTTTGAATAAAGGAATCAAAACCTTCTTCACAAGCCCCTGCACTGAAGAACCGCGAATACGGCTACAAAAAGGGGAATTCATTTTAGCCACAAGAGGTTTACGGTAAGAATAGGAAGTATTGCATTTCTTATTCGATGACAAAATCAGTATCTAGCCTAAAAAATTAACCTTAATCTTTTAAATATTTCAGATACTGGTTGTATGGAGACAAAATCCTTGATGATTCCTTTATAGAAGGTATGGAAATGGAACGACATGGTTAAAGGACAAGACTATTAGCAATAATTCCAAATTTTACAAGAGTAACTTTTATAAACCAATCCTGCCTAATGTATTAGGGGAACTGCATAGAAGGGCATATGACTAAGCAACAAAAGGAACCTCCTTATATATTTCTCTATAGCTCTTGTATTTTTCAGGTCTTTTTAATGATAGCTAACATTTGAGCTCATAACTATGTGACAAGTACTTGTATAAGTGCTTCCCTTAAGGTGTAAAAGTCTCCAAAAGACCTCGGAGGTAGGCACTATCACTTACATTCTATGGAGGGAACTCTGAAGCACGGAGAGGCAACTTGCCCATAGCTATGCACTGAAAACAGATGGAGCGAGGGCTTAACCCCAAGCAATCTGACTCCACATTCTGTGCATCAAACCCCTGTACTATTGGCTCCCCCCACTTTGAATGAGCATTTCTCTTATTATAAAAACCAGTAGATTGAAACTTTGCGTATGTTTTTTTTTTTTCTTAAGTTTTATAATTGTTTCTTTTTAAAGTTAAGATTAGCTCGGATGTTCTTTAAAAGACAGTTGGGGTTAATCATAAATTAACCTTTTATGACGGCTGTGATATAGAAATGTATATGTTAGGCCAGGTGCGTGACTCATGCCTGTAATCCCAGGACTTTGGGAGACCAAGGCAGATGGATCACCTGAGGTCAGGAGTTCAAGACCAGCCTGGCCAACATGGTGAAACTCCATCTCTACTAAAAATATAAAAATTAGCCGGCATGGTGGCATGTGCCTGTAATCCCAGCTGCTCCAGAGCCTAAGGCAGGAGAATTGCTTGAACCCAGGAAGCGGAGGTTGCAATGAGCCGAAATTGTGCCACTGCACTCCAGTCTAGGTGACACAGCGAGACTCCATCTCAAAAAAAGAAAAAGAAATACGTATGTTAGAAAAAGTCTAAAAAGGAAATTTACAAAGGCTGCAAGAAGATAGTTCCCTGGAAAAGACGTAGTGTGATGGTGGGCCAAAAACACCTTTCCTGATCATACACATATAAGTAAACACCCATACTGAGTTCCCCCCAACTCTAGTTAGGAGCTGTCTTTAACCACATTAGTCCCTATTCTGGATCATAGAATTTGGGAAATATCTGTTCCTAGCTTGTAATGAACATTTAAAAACCTTTTTTTTCCCCTTTAACCTGTGCTTATATTAGATAGCAAAGAGGGGAATAAAAGTCTAACTAAAAGCTTATTAATTTGAAGTAATAGGACTTACTGCTTTCAGTAATGTCACTGTCATCCATCAGACAATTTCACTTCAATTTCATTTTCTCCCTCAGGTGTTTCAAGAATAAGGGGATGGTTCCCTAGAAAATGTGTGGAAAAGTGTCCCTGTGATGCTGAAACAGATCAAGCCCCAGAGGGCGAGAAGAAAAATAGATAGCTGCTGTTAAAATGAAATTATCCTTTAAGTCTGCTTAATTACTTGAAAATTGTACATATTACTAAAGAATTATGCAAAGAGCCTACTCTGGTTAAGATGTTCTTTTCCTCAAAGGTGCCCTAGTGCCATGATTTAAATATTTTTATTACCGTTTTGAAATGGAGAAGCCATTCTGCATATGCCTTTGATTTCCTGCCCCTCTTTACCACCTCTTCCTCCCCCGCAAAGGAAAAAACGTTTCACCCAAGTAAGTTAGCGGATTTTCTTTAGGATTTTCTTATGCACTGCACACTCTGGACCTCACCTGCAGATACAGTTCCCCCCTTGCCAGGAGCATCTGCATGTGGTACTTCTCTTTTCCCTCAGTTGATATTTCTTATATGATATTCTAGATACTGTAGAACTCAATTTGTCAGATTCAGTATAAGCTCAGATTTTGTTACCTGTCTTTTAATAATGCAAATTTTGTCAAATCAAATAAAGATCAATGGATGTTCTGTATAATCAGTTTTTACTTAAAGCATTTTTCTTTTTGCCAACTAAAAAGGTTCATCTTAGTTCCTTATGGAAAAACTGCTCTGCTGCCCTGTGAACAATTGGCATCTTAAAACATGTCTTAAGACATGACACACTTGCTTCAACATATTAACCCTATTAATGGGATATTGAGGTCATAGTGATGGCAGTGGATGGCAGCGGTGGCCTGAAGGGGGTTGAGGGGGAGCCGTGATAAGCAGGAGACAAGCATAGCTACAGCTGCCCAGTCATGGCTGCAGACCCGGCCATCCCTGTGCTCTAGGGGGCCCAGGGGAACCCCACCACCACCAACCACCTGGCCTCTCCCTGCTCCTGGCACTCGCTCTGGAGTAAAGGTGAGGCCAAGCCCGGGTGCTGTCGGGATCTGGCCAGGTGTCCGTGAGCTCTGAGTGGTGTTGACACACCGGCGCCCTGCCACCTAGGCCCCCTCCAGGCTTTGGGCTACCAGCCATAGAGGGTTCCAGCTGGTAAAGCAACACCCCAAGGATCCCATGGCAGTAGTGTTCTAGACTTTAGACATAGTGATATCAAACACTCATGTACCCTTGAGTAAAAAACTGAAGCTGTGTGAGTGGTAGGATCCTAGCTGGTGGACTTGAATGCTTAAGTTGGGCTTGTCTAAACGTAAGAGTAGAATCACAGAAGGAAAGGGAAAGCCTATTTCTCTGGACTTAGAAACCTTTCCAAGGCAGGGAATGGGAAGCTTTGGGGGCCAGGCTTGTAACAGTTAGGGATAAGGGAAGAGCACTTGGGAATTCGGCAGTGAACAGACAAGTAAAATATATGTAAGATGGAGTCATGTTATTGTGAAGCAAGATGGTAGGACAGTCTTGAGTTGGCATTTGAAGCAAATGAGGGGACAAGTCATGTGCTTTGGGATATTTGCATTTTAGAGACAGCAGTAAGAACAAAAACAGGCTGGACCTATGTCTGGCATGTTTGATACACAGACAGTAACCAGTGAGGTTCAGCTGGAATGAGTGAGGGGAGAAAAGGAAAGGAAGTGAAGGCGAGAAGGTTAAAGTGATAATGGGAGCTAGACTTAAAAGTTAATTCCTGCCTACCTTTTTGTTTCAGATACTCAAGAATAGACATTTCTTTGGCTTTTCTGGGCTCAAAGTCTAGAAAGCCCATCCAAGAACATTCTCTTTAACTCCAGTTGGAGGCCAGAAAAGAATACTATTAATATTCAAGATTAATTAGAGTACAACAAAGATGGTAAGAGAATGGATATGACTTGGGCTCAGTTGGAGTTTTGGCTCAGCTGGTGTTTGTTTTATTCTTTACAGCTATTGGATAAGAAGGGTTGGTCTTCAGAACTTTTCTCCAGTAGTTAACCTGTTTGCAGACTAGAATCATCTGGGGATCTCTTTAACAATCCCAGTGCCCAGGCTGTATCTGGCCATTTAAGCCAGAATCTCTGGAGTGGCACCCAGGCATTAGTGTCTGTTTTATTTTATTTTTTTTTTTTTAGACAGAGTCTCGCAGTTTTGCCCAGCCTGGAGTACAGTGGTGCAATCTCAGCTCACAGTAAGCTCCACCTCCCAGGTTCACGCCATTCTCCTGCCTCAGCCTCCTGAGTAGCTGGGACTACAGGCGCCCGCCACCACGCCCAAGTAATTTTTTTGTATTTTTAGTAGAGATGGGGTTTCACCGTGTTAGCCAGGATGGTCTTGATCCCCTGACCTCATGATCTGCCCGTCTCAGCCTCCCAAAGTGCTGGGCATTAGTGTCTTTTTAAACTTCCTAGATAATTCTATCGTGTAGCCAAGTTTAAGAACAGATACTGTACTTGATTTTTAAGGGCTCCTTGTTTAAGACTGATTTTCATCATGGTCCATGAGGCAAAAAACACCACAACATAAGTATCTGCAATAGTTTATTTTAAAGACTACATTTACAAGTAGAAGCAACGTGTGTTATCTGTGGATAAGGCAGAGCAGAAACTCCAATCCGAGGGTGGGGGAGATCAGTTGGTTCCTTCACAGAAAATAAGCCTGTTGTGTGGGCATCTTGCTTGCCTGTAGGTCTTTGTTCCCAGTTCAGGAGGTTTTTATTCAGTGCTTGCTTCATTTACTGGAAAAGTTCACTGTGCCCACGTGTCAACGCCTTCCCTACAGCTTCCAGCTCAGCAGCAAACTGTAGGGGACAGATTTACTCCCCGGTTGCTACTATAAATAACGCTTTAAAAACAGCATTCCTTTTGAACAATATGTCGTAGGCCTAATTTTTAATACTGCCAAGTCAGAGATCTAACTAGAGAGTTTAGGAAATGTTTGGTATGATTAAACTTTTCCCTTTAGTACACAATTTAATTTACACAGAAGAGCATCAGAAATTTATCTCATAGATATGATTGACATGACTGATAGGTTCAAACTAAAGTTTTAGTGGTTTGTGGAGTGGCTAGAAAACATGAATTATAAGCAGTTTTTCAGAATTTAAAAATATCTTAGTTTGAACAGAAGATGTAAATAAGCATTGAGACTGTTGGCAAGTTATGTTTATCACAAAGCAACAAGGAAGAAGGCACAGCGGGTCCCTTTGACCCTTGAACTTGTGGTCACTTATAGTATTAAGGTTGGAAATCATGAGGAAGGATACAGAATATAAACTGAGATCTCGAAGACAGGCATGTTGATAAAAGTAGCCCTAAAGCCTTAATATTAGCAACATTGAAGATGGGAAAGACGGGATTGATTTGTTTGGGGACTAAGTTTACACATTATATGTCTCTCAATATAAAACAAAAGCTATGGCTTTAGAGTTAAGTAGGCAAAAAAAAAAAAGGAAAGACAAAACAAATGTAAGAATAGTTTTTAATCCATGTCCTCACAAGCAGTGCAGAGTGGGCAGGCAGCTACTTAACTACCTTATCCTAATCCTGGATGTGCTCATACAGACTGTCAATTTGGGTCCGAAAGTATTTGGAAAGCTCTCCCCGCTTTGCTTTCAATGTTGGTGTCAAGAGCCCATTTTCAATGGAAAATGGCTCTGGATGAAGAAAAACGGCTTTGACCTGGAAGATGAACACACACACATCCATGCTCATTAGTGATTTGGACTTCTCTGCAGAGCCTGCTGAGTGCTCTGTGAAAAAAGTGAGGTTGATGCAGGGAAAGGGTAAAGGTAATAGTAACACATGCCCATTCCCATAAACATAATTTGAGAAAGAAATGAGTAGGGAGAAGGGAGAATGGATAATAAACAGCAAAAAAAGGAGGACAAATAACTACGAAAGATGATTTTATAGTTAATGGCACAAAATCTACAATCAATTCCTTAGAAATTACATATTTAAACCTCATGAGATAGAAACTTGAAACAAAACTTTCTAATATGATGAGAGGCCAGTATAACATCAGTGGTAGTACACACCTGCTCAAAGGTTTTAAGGCCACTTTCTTTCCCAATTTTCTGCAAGTCTTCTAAAATGGCTTTCCTTACAACCTAAGAATACAAAACATCGCTTAAAGCATGGCTGTTTCAAAAAGAGCCTGCAGGGCTAAGCATGAACCAACTCAGAGTGCCTGGCAAAGCCGTGCAGTATGAAAGCAGGAATATAAAACTGGGCACATTATATGCCCAATATTGAAAGAAAAACTGAGAAGAAAAGGTACATCTAAATGTTAACAGTTTTCCCCGAATAGCATTTTTACTCTTCTTTCCCAGTCTTTTCCCACAATGAACATATTATTGTAAATAGAAAAGAAAGTTTTATTTTTTAAACTCTCCATCCTATCCCCGAGTCTCATAAAACTATTCAGCCTGTTGGGGCTGCAGCCACTTGTGACAGATGCAGGAACTGGTGAGGCATCCTCTCCTCCACGATGGACCCATGGGTGTGCATAAAGCTTTCCTAGGCAAGACTTACTTGGTTTTGGCACAGTTCCTCAAAGGAGCCCTTTACCCCAAGCTTGGCTGCAAATGAGGGAAGTACATCTGGGTCAGGAACCACCACTCCTACTAAGGATGACTATGGAAAGGAAATAAAAGGTGCAAGGGCATGAGAGAAGCCATGTAGGGATTTCAACAGTAGTTAAATAAAGCAGAATTATGTCGTTGTAATAGTTATTTCCTCAAAACCCTAAATCCAGTACTAATGTTCTTTTCTCACCATATATTTTCAACACACATGGAACTGTAATCCCATTTTCCCACTCGATATCTCATTACAAAGATGTTCTATTCAAATCTGATCCTTCAACATTAAGCTTGAAGCATCTCTGACTTGTCCAGGTCAACTCTCCCTTACCCCCCAAAAGCTACGTTTAAGCGCAGTGTGTATAAAACAGTTTGTTGTTTTGGGATAAGGAGTTCCTTAAAGCTATATTTAAGCACAGTATGTATAAAACAACAGTTTGTTGATCAAACTTTTGTTTGTTGTTTTATACATATTGCAACAGTTTGTTGTTTTATACATACTGTACTTAAACATAGCCTTAAGGAACTCCTAAAGGAATGGGAACTAAGTACAATGTGGAGCTCATTTTTTACTGAATCATTACCTTTTAGTGTAGCCATTCTAAACAATTCTACTGACTTGTGTACAACGTCCATCATAGTTTCAAAATTTTTTTAATTGAAATTGCCTTATTTGAGGTTTGGAATGTAACTTCTTTTTTTTTTTTTTTTTTTTTTTAGTTTTATAAGCTTGGATCTTCTCATTCTGAACCCAACTATACACATTTCCTGTAGCTACAAGAACCAGCATGGTTTGTGACTGAAATGGGCTATTGTTAAAATGATATATTACCCGTAAGCTCTCCCCATGTACAAAAATTTGTAACACTGGTCTACTCCTGTTGTAGATATTTTCTATCTTCTCTGGCGCAATGTATTCTCCTTGGGCAAGCTTGAAAATGTTCTTTTTACGGTCGATGATCTTCAGAGTTCCATTCTACATGAGACAGATACAAGTATCAGTATTTTTGAGCCACAGAGATGGTATCAGTGGGGAGAGTGGTGAAGTCACAGTCATCTTTCTTCTCTAAAGCTGATTTCTCCCAGAGACTTTTGAGCTGTCTTTCATTTCTCTTTCTTGGCTTTGGGGAAAGGGGAGGGAAGCATCGTGCAGCAAGAACCTGTCTTTACTGTATATCTATGTGGAGAGTCAATGCGCAGCCTCAGAGAAAGTCTCCCGGATCTGCTGGGGTTACGCAAATTGATGCCTCATCCAAGAAAGAAATTGCGCAGCTCTCAGTTTCCAATCACTAATTTCCAATTAGTTCATTTTCAGAACTCTCAGCGATAAGAGGTGTTGTCTTTTGTTTAGACTTTTGATTTGATATGAATAGTTCTCCCACCGCTTGACTCCCTGTTATGTTTTCCTCCTTGTTAGATCCGGGAGTAAGCTCAAAAAGCTCCACTGTGCTAATCAAGCAAGTCAATTACTGGGCTTGTTAGGACAGCAACAGGGCTGAGAGGATTCCGACCGGCCACCAAAGGTCATTTGCAGCTTCATTTCTCTGAACTAATTGGTCTGAGGAGCTTAGGTCTTTAGGGATTTGAATTGTAGCATTGGGATAAATGGCAAATACAATCCACATGCTAACACCCTAAGTAGGGCGACTAACTAAACCCACTGTGGAACTATCACAAGGCAGACTTCATAAATTAGCCATCAATTCAGCAGAACGTTCATTATCTGAAAGTGATTGATAAGGTGCCGCCTTCTATAACCCTGGTGTGGGGACATATCTATTGCTTATGTCCTAGGCTTATTAGAGTGTTATTTAATCCCGTTACTAGACAGAAACAAATATGTTAGCAAACTACCAAACCCAAATCAATAAAATGCATCGTTAGGACCAGTGTTATTAAAAGTTACATTGTCAAGCATTCCTTAAATCTCACTTAAATCTTACATATTGATTGAGCAAGAAGGGAGTTTTAAATTCTAGTTACATTCCCACTTCCCCAGCACCTAGTTAAGACAAAACTTTTGAGAGGGGAGATCTTTTGGAAAATCCCATCACTGCCCTTGCAATAATTTCCTATCTTCTTACGAAAATAGCAACTACTGCTAGTTATCATCAAGCTATGCTAAAAATATGTCTCTGGATCTTCCACAGAAAGGGGCTGTCAAGGTCAATGAGAGACAAACACTAGCCTCTGCAAACACTTGATTTAGAAATCCTTCTTCCTTGTTTTGATATGCCTGTGAATTAATAGGGAGGATACTTATCCCAAGACACTCATAAGAGGCAAAAGTTGTGGATCAACAGCATTATCAAACCAAAATTTTTTGGGTTTTTGTTTTGTTTTGGTAGACACAGGGTCTTGCTATGTTGCTCAGGCTGGTCTCAAACTGCTGGCCTCAAACAATCCTCCCGCCTCAGTCTCCTAAAGTGTTAGGACTTGGCCTCAAATGACAACTTCTGCCTCAAGAAAAGTTAAGGGGGGGAAAAAAAGGACAGAATAGTACATTTCCCTACTCCTTTCCTGGAGAAGTCACCTAATTTTTCCTTGGCTGGTAGCAAATCTATTCCATTGCAGGGGACCCATGCCAACTCTTATGTCCAGGTCTACCTGATGTATTAAAGAATCCCACCTTCAGTTTGGTTCTAAAAACAGTGCTAGGATCACTGACTTACTGCTTGCTGGTGGTATATTTGATAAGGAATAAGGCAGGAAGAAAACACTTCAACTGGTCTACATCTTGGTGTCTTCTATAACAGTGTGATCAAAATACCAAAAGTACTCTCTGACGGTACTTTGGGTGTAGCAACTTATACCAGTAATCCAAGAACTTTGGGAGGTCAAGGCAGGAGGATCGCTTGAGGCCAGGAGTTTGAGTCCATCCTGGTCAACTCAGCGAGACCACATCTCTATAAAAAAATTTTTTAAGAAAGAAAGACTTTCTAGCTTTGGCAGCTCCTATTCACACATTAAATTACTTTCTCAGAATTTCATATTGTTGGTCCATGGAAGAGCTGCAACTAGAACACAAATCTCCTGACTTCCAGCCTATATTCTTTTTTTTTTTTTTAACTTTTAAGTTACAAGTTAATCTAGATTCTTTCAATTGTATGTTCTTTTTTTTATTTTTTGTTTTATTTTATTTTATTTTTTGAGACAGAGTCTCTGTCACCCAGGCTGGAGTGCAGTGGCACAATCTTGGCTCACTGTAACCTCTGTCTTCTGGGTTCAAGGGATTCTCCTGCCTCAGCCTCCCAAGTAGGTGGGATTACAAGTGCCCGTTTACCAGGCCCACCTAATTTTTGTATTTTTAGTAGTGACGGGGTTTCGCCATGTTGGCCAGGCTGGTCTTGAACTCCTGACCTCAGGTGATCCACCACCTCAGTCTGTATGTTCTTCTCTGGATAGTATGAGGAAGTCATAAGCCAGGTAGGGTACAAATCTAATCCCCTCCAGCTGCCTCAGCTGATTAACCTGCTTCCATTTCTGCCCCTCTTGCTATAAGCAAATTGTTCTTCCCTGTCCATTAGCACAGACTTCCAGGAGTTCTGACGATATACCCACCGGGAGCCAGCGACCAATGTCTCCTGTGTGAAGCCAGCCATCACTGTCCAGGGCTTCCTGTGTCTTCTCAGGGTCCTTCAGGTATCCTTTGAACACGTTTGTACCCTTGATGCAGATCTGCACAGCAGACAATACAAGGTGGTGACAATAGCAAAGGCTGCTCCTCCCAGCGTGGGCAGTTTATGAAACATCTGCTCCCCCTTAAATCATTTGATGGCTTCCACTACACTGTGAAGAGCACCAGATCTTAGTCTCCACTACAGGGGATAGGAAAGTGAAGTTCAGAGTGCTTAATTCTTTGCTAAAGATCTCAAAGGGGCCAAATCCAAGTTTGCTTACAATTATTTGCTCCTTCTGATATAAACCACCCCACCATGATTGTCTGACCACAGGGCATGACCTACCCACCTCTCCTTCGTTATTCACTGAAAAGTAGTTCATGTCAGCCACATCTTCCAGCTTCACGTAATTGCAAGTCAGGGGCGCCCCAACGTGACCTAGAACACACCACGCGGAATCAGCTGAGAAACTCTTGCATGGTGATAATTCCAGGCATATTTCTGAAATATTTATGAATTGACTCTAGAGGAGTAAGACTGAAAAATCACCTGGCACCAATGCAGACTAGCCAAGGTAGGCAGGCCTGGGCCCAATACTTGAATTTTGCATTTGCCACATTAGTCCAGAGAACTGAGGTTATCTAAACTCCAAAGTCCTAGTTCAGTTAGAGCCTTTCTTCCAACCATGGCACCTCCTGCCCAGCAGATGGAGGACTTACCTGATGTCCAGTCCCCAGGTGATGTAAATGTACAGCCAGCTGTGCATTCTGTTTGACCATAAGCTTCATACACCTGGGAAACCAAAGAAGAGCTTGTAGATTTACTCAAGATAAAGTGTGAGCTGCCCATGTGTTATGGCCAAGACATGAGGAAAGCAAGGTCTCTAAGTGTTTGAGACCACTTAGTGTCTTAAAACCTTGAACTTGGAGGGGGCGGTGGCTCACGCCTGTAATCCCAGCACTTTGGGAGGCTGAAGCTGGAGGATCACCTGATGTCAGGAGTTCGAGACCAGCCTGGCCAACATGGTGAAACCCCATATTTACAAAAATACAAAAAAAATTAGCTGGGCATGATGGCAGGTGCCTGTAATCCCAGCTACTCAAGAGGCTGAGGCAGGAGAATCACTTGAACCTGGGAGGAGGAGGTTGCAGTGAGCTGAGATCATGCCATTGCACTCCAGCCTGGGCGACAGAGCAAGACTCCATCTCAAAACAAAACAAAACAAACAAACAAAAAAACCTTGAACTCATACCCAAGCTGCAAAGTATTTACTACCAAGACTTTTGGCCATTCAGAAACCAAAAGGGTCTGGAAATAGACCAAAGTATAGAACTTTACATGAAAAAGCAGCATTTTGGCCAGGCATGGTGGCTCACACCTATAATCTCAGCACTTTGGGAGGCCGAGGCGGGAGATTCACCTGAGGTCATGAGTTCTAGGCCAGCCTGACCAACATGGTGAAACCCCATCTCTAGTAAAAATACAAAAATTAGCCGGGCCTGGTGGCATGCGCCTGTGATCCCAGCTACTCAGGAGGCTGAGGCAGGAGAATCGCTTGAACCCAGAAGGCAGAGGTTGCAGTGAGCCGAGATTGTACCATTGCACTCCAGCCTGGGTGACACAGCAAGCAAGACTCCATCTCAAAAAAAAAGAAAGAAAGAAAGAAAGAAAGAAAGAAAGAAAGAAAGAAAGAAAGGAAGGAAGGAAGGAAGGAAGGAAGGAAGGAAGGAAGGAAGGAAGGAAGGAAGGAAGGAAGGAAGGAAGAAGGAAGGAAGGAAGGAAGGAAGAAAGGAGAAAGAAAGAAAGAAAGAAGAAAGAAAGAAAGAAAGAAAGAAAGAAAGAAGAAAGAAAGAAAGAAAGAAAGAAAGAAAGAAAGAAAGAAAGAAAGAAAAGAAAGAAAGAAAGAAAGAAAGAAAAGAAAGAAAGAAAAGGAAAGAAAATGCAGCATTTCAAGTAGGTGGGAACATGTAAGTTATTCACTAAGTGATGGTCAACCCAATAGCAATTGAACTTGAACCTGAGCAATGGAGCATCAGTGAAGGAACTGAAGAAGGAGAGTAGCATTTTTTAAGGGAAATAGCTCCCATTGTGATATAAAACAAGAGTTGGCAAACTTTATCTGTACAGGCCAAGATAGTAAATATTTTCCGCTTTGTGAGCCATCTGGTATCTGACTCAAAACTTGACTCTGCCAACATAGCACGAAAGCAGCCACAGTACATATGTAAATGGATGGACATAGCTGTATTTCAGTAATATTTTAAAAATAAAAACTGGCTGCAGACTAGTTTTAGCTTGTGCTGCAATTTGCCAATCCCTGGTATAGAAGATAATCTTGATTAGAGAGAGGCTGGGGGCAGGAAACAAGTTCACAGTCTGCTGCAATGGTGGGTGTGGCTGGTGATAGGCAGAATTGGGAGACAGAGGAAGGCTTAAAGAAGACATTTCTGGGAGGGGGTTAGCAACAGAACCTGCCGATCTATTGGTTTTAGGGGCTTAAGGAAAGGACAGTATTAAAAATGGTTAAGAGGATACTAATTTGAAAGACTACAGGGCCTCAAGGCCTTGGCATCAATCTGGAGTCTCTTTTGATTGTGGTTAGACAGATAGGGGACTCATGAGGAAAAGTCTGTGCCTGTTTTGTTCATGCCCTGCATGGTTTGTTGAATGAATAAACTATCCATCTGGGTGAAAATTGAGACAATATGCATGACCAAGCACTTGCACAGATTTCAGGTGGAACTGAGACTTACATGGAAAAAATGGAAAATGGTAAGTTTGCCAGAAAATAAGGGTGAAACAGTCTTATGAAATATCAGGGGTTAAGAAGTCCTGTCTAAGCAATTTAAAACCTACAAATATAAAAGATTATTTAGTTTGACTATAAAAACATTGGAAATTTTTATATGGCAATACACAGGGCAAAATGATGAGACTAGGAAAAATCTTTCCAATATGACAAAAGGTAATATTATGGGTTGACTATTCTAATCCAAATGTTTGAAATCCAAAATGTTCCAAAATCCAAAACCTTTTGAGTGCCAACATGATGTTCAAAGGAAATGCTTTTTGGAGCACTTCAGATTTTGGATTTTCAGATTCAGAATGCTCAACTGTTTTATAATGCAAATATTCCAAAATTGGAAAAAAAATGCAAAATTCAAAACACTTAGTCCCAAGCATTTCAAATAGGGAGATACTCAACCTGTATTACTCTGTGAAGAACTCTTAGAGATATAAAAAAGGACCAAATTATCTTTTGCCTGTTTTTCTATAAGGAAGTAATAGAATAATTCATGGATGAAATATGCATGTCAGTAAGCAATAGAAAGATGTTTGGTGTAAATAAAAGAAACGAAACTTAATAAGATTTTTCATTTATCTGATTAGCTAATATCTAAATGACTGATAAAGTCTGTCACTGGCAAGAGCGTGGGCAAATAAGGCCTCATATACTTCCAGAAATGTGTAAAAAACATCTTTCTGGAAGTAAGTTTGATAATGTACACTGTTACACACACACACACAGAGACATACACTTTGACAGAGTAATCCCTTCTTGCATGGATTTATTCTAGATTAATGATTAATTGATTATAACAATGAAAAATATCATAAGCAACTCAAGTATCCATTAACAGGAGATTAGTTATTTGAGTACGGCTGACCCTTCCTTGCACAACACAGGTTTGTACGGCACAGCTCCACTGACAGGTGGATTTTCTTCTGTCTGTGCTGCTCCTGAGATAGCAAGACCAACACCTCCTCTTCTTCCTCCTCAGCCTACTCAACATGAAGACAGTGAGGATGAAAACCTTTATAATGATCCATTTCCACTTAATGAATAGTAAA